GAAGTAAACCAAAACTTGCCGGGGTCAGCCATAAATGTTGCAGCTGTAAACGAACAAGTGATGGGCAACCACACGAGTTTTTTTTTTAAATTGATAGAACGGCGAGACGAACTCGGATGGCTCGGTGCTGCTGGTCATTCAGGATCGGCTTTATGGACAGGTAAGGAAAAAGAAATAACAGACCGACGTCTGTTGTCGGTCGTCTGTGGACCAACTCCAAAGAGAACCCTTTCAAACCTTTGCAAAATATTTTTTTTTGTTTTATGAAGTAGATGCTATGGATTTTAGCGTCCTTCGGATAATTTTGGTTTATTTTTTTAATTAGAGGGCATCTTGGGGGTACGATCTCCGAATGATAATCTCGCTTTCAGCTCATTCGGTGTCTCTACTTAGTTTGTAATTAGAAACAGATACAAAAAATGCATTGTCGCTTTAGTCATTGGTTCGCTGACTCAAGCGATTGGCTTCGGTGTTCAGCTCTTCGGGTTGCTTCGGTGAAGATCTAGAGTGCGCTGAAACTCGACGTGGGCTCGACCATTCCGTTCATTGTTTCCTTATATTCCGAGAGTTGAGTTCGGCCTCTTCGCAGCAGGCAGCAGTTGCTTTGCCTTGGGCCCGAGCTTTGAACGGCGCGCCTCACGCTCCATGGCGACATGCCGTTTTGCAGTACAAAAACAGTGGGTTTCATTTATGCGATTTTTGAGTGTGTGTGTGTGTGTGCGTGCGTGCGTGCGTGTGCGTGCGTGCGTGCGTGCGTGTGTGTGTGCGTGCGTGCGTGCTGCGTGCGTGCGTGTGCGTGCGTGCGTGCGTGTGTGTGTGTGTGTGTGTGTGTGTGTGTGTGTGTGTATGTGTGTGTGTGTGTGTGTGTGTGTGTGTTTCGGCACGTGATTGGCGGACTGTTTCCGGAATATGTGAGAAAATAATGCAGTCTCGTCCGCTTTTAGGTCGTTCTCTAGAGTCTCGCAATGTAACCAATATACGTGTCGAGAGTTGCACGTTATTCCGAATATGTGGTCCGTTCTTTCGCTAAGCAACTACAGCTGCCTTTTTTTTTTTATTAAGAAAGGGGAAGGGTGTTGGGGGCGAGAAAGTTGTTGTAAGAAAATTGCGCTACCATGGAAAATTATGGCGCTACACCACAAAGACGGAATGATCGAACGGGGCTCGCTAAAAACTGTGAAAAAGTGCACAAAAACGCAGCCGCACACCGGAGCAGCGAACAGATTTAGTTTTATACCTCCCGGGGGAGGGGGGGTGGCGGCGTGCAGCTAGCTTCGTCGTAAATTCAGTAAGCTGCGCAGATCGGCCCCCGTGGAAGCAATATCACCTAGGAAGACAAGGCCCGGGTGTGACATCATCGTTGGTGGACCCCCGACCCGCCGCAAGCGGCAAACACGTCGAAGCTGAACGAGACACGCGTCCGTCTTGGCCTCGCCGCGTGTTATAGCGTCGCTCTCGGTGGGAGACGCTGCAGGACGCGTTGGCGTGGATCCATTAGTGATGACGTTTGCGGGGCAAAGGCCCGGGCCTTTTTCTTGCAGGTGGTATCGGTGGGACTCGCTCGTTCGTTTTGACTGATCACCGGCGGTCGTGGTGTCTCGCCGCCAAACCGGGACGCGCGTCCGCCTTGTCGAGGACAGTGGCTGCGCCCCTAATCATTGTTTCGCTAAGGGAGAAGCAACTGCAGTTCAGATCTCCTTTTTATTATTATTATATATATTTTTTCTTTTTTGCACAACGTGCAGTGCGTGCGAGATGCCCGTAGGTGCAGTCTTGTCCTATGTGCACAATTACGAGAGATACGGATCGCAAAGCTGACGGAAAAGCCGGTGATGCGAAGGTTGCGGCTTCATTTGCTCCGACTAATGAGGGCTTGGACAACTGAAGCCTGACCTACTTCATTGGCTACTTTTTTCTCCCTATCGGTTTTGTATGTCTTCTGTGTCTCCTTTGTCGATGATTCGGAGGTTTTTTAACGATATGCACGAACCTCGGTATCCTGGGAACCGGGTGCAAACAAAACGCTAGTTTTTTTTTTTTGTTTTTTTTTTTTTTTTTGTGTGTGTGTGTGTGTTTTCATCCGCGTTTCTTCGCGCGTGAGTGCGGGAGTGTATTTGTGTGTGTTCGTCTCCAGTTCGGGTCATTCGTGTCGTGTCCTCGGGTTCGGCTTGTTTCCCCTAAGTGCCTGTTTATCGTCATGTCGGTTGTTAATTTTGTTTGTCTGACTCGTAAGTTTCGTAATCGGCCATCGCCGATAGAATGGTTGCGTTAAACGGAGAACGCTTGAGGAGACACGTGAACATTGGTAGGTGCTATCAGTCGCACTCCAGAGACAGTTGACGTGCTTTTCCCGTGCTCTCCGTGGACGATGCGGGTTCGATTTAATAGTCGAAACACGAAGTAGTCGAAAAACCATCTTGAACCGATAACGGGAGCGAACTTGGGTTTGAGGCTGCGCTTCGCCTGCCGGCATTCGACTCGATGGCAAGATCTGCTCAATTCAGTCTCGTAGAGAGCAGTAATTTAACATCAGCCGGGATATTATTTTTTGTTGTTACTCTTACAGCTCACATTGTTCATGTCTGTACTTGTCAAAGTCGCATAATGGGATCACTTGACAAGGATGAAGCAGGCCACACGTTCACATATATCCTGATGATGTGTCGTTTTTGTTGCGCACTTGCGTGATAAGGCGTTTCACGGTTACGCGTAGGAAGTGGTCACTCTCTCGACTCCGTTACTCTCCGTTAAAAGTTCGAAACTAGAAAGAACGACTTATTAGGGAGTTTTCGTAGACCGTTTCCGCTGTCCCGCAACGCTCTCCGCAACCCGCTACGATAACCGGAACTCCACAACCAAGGCTATCGGCGCGCAGGCGCAGTAGCAACTTCTTCGTTGCGGAGAGCTTAGCGGAAAGGGATATGCGGTCTACGAAAAGTCCCTATTGCTTCTCGCTCGAACCGCGCGTAGGTTGGCTTCACTGACGCGCATCCGTGTCCGCAGTGAAGCCCAACCTTGGGGGTCATCGTTTCCATTCGACGATCGTTCTGGAGGTTGATTCGACGATCTGCTCTGTTCCTTCGAAGTTTGTGCAGGAACCGCAACCCTGGATGAACCGATTTGTGAGTGGATTAGGCGGTGAGGTTAGGAGGCCAATCTTAGCGCCTGAAATTCGCTTAGTACATTGACAAATGGTGTCAATTAGCTTACATTTCAGCGCGCAGCAACTGAAGGCCAGCTGGTGTTCCGGCGCTCGTTCGACATGAATACAGGAACGTGAGCTGATCGCAGACGTCACGATAGCATGTGTCATTCGCAAATCTTAAGTGGCATACCCACGGAAGATTCAACGTGGGCCGTTTGCTTTTTGGGTGTCCTTTTTTGTTTGTATTTGTTTGTCGCGGCTTAAATTCGGATCTTGTAGTCAGCAACAGCGTTTGGTTGGGCGTGTATGGTACAAATAATATAGAGCAGTGCTGTGGCCGTGTCCTTGCGCTTTTTTAAACTGTTCTTGTAGTCCAATCTGAAAAAAAAAAGAAAAAAAAAACGTGTTCGCTCGTGTTTTTTTTTTTTTCATTTTGTTTCTTTAGTTAACATTGTTATTATTATTGGGTTCACCTGAGAGAATTCGATCGCGCCTTACATAAGCCATACCGGAGTTTCTCGAATATTTGGGGGTTTCGAGTATTCTCAACGAGGGTATCTGAATTACAAAAATCCGAAAACAAAAAAAGAAAAGGAATGCCGATTTTTGTGATATGTCATCGAGGTTACCGCAGCGAATGGATTAGGGAGGCAGAGCTCACAAATACGCAGTTACTCTGTTTCAACACACTGCGTTAGCTTTAAAAAAAAAAAATTGTCATCTTTTTTTTAGTAGGGACCTACTGCTCGTAAGGAGCGGGCAGGAGTTTCGCTTGGAAAGGTGGAAATAAACATTGTGCTCACTTTCCGTTCATTGTCGTCGTATGAGGAAGTTCTCGTACCAACTTGTTTCACAGACTTTTACTTGTTCGCCTTTGTCCTTTTCACGCATACCGCTGTTATTGCGCGCGCCTGCGTATCCACTGTAGCCTAAAAAAAAGAGCTTTGTCGTTTTAACCGAAGACAGGGTTGGGCTCGGAATTGAGGAACAGGAAGTCGTGCTCAGTCTAGCTGCTACACCTTTTTTTTTTTTTTTTTTTTTTTTTTTTTTTTTATAGCCTACGTTTGCTTTCTCCAAAAAGTAGCCGGAGTTTCTTCCGGGGGCGGTTGATCGGACGTCGGAACTGTGCCTTCCGTGCCGGGCAGGATCCTGCAGCGAACTATCGGCCCAACTGGGTTCTTTCTGCCCACTTCCCCGCTTAGAATGCCGGCCTTGTCGAATCAAGTCGGGTCCACTGAGCGGGTCAATAATTTTGGTCGCCGCGCTATTACGCTATTCTTGCACCTCGTTGCTGCTGCCGCTGTTTTCGATCGAGTTCTGCTATCGCTCTTTTCCGAGTGGTACCCTCTCCTCCTTTCCTTTTTTTTTTTATTTTCTGAGTATCGAAGCTTTTTTACCCTTTTTCCGTCCGCCATTTTGCTCTCGCGTGAAGCCAACGAAGACTGAAAGAACAACGAGTAAATAAATATAAAGATAGTAGAGTCGAGTTTCTTTGTTGGCCCGTCATGGTGGTCGCCCGTCGAAACCATCGGGTTCCCCTACTGGGCCGCCCACCCAGGCCCGGCTAGCTACCCGAGCACGTATACAGCGGCAGCCCCCCGTGTGTGTGTGTGTGTCCCACGTGGGAATGCGTTGCGATCGCCACCCGAATTACGGTCATTACAACGCGAATCCGAGAGGTGCTTGCGCGCACCTGCCAATTCACCTAGTTGGCGCGTTTCGGGGGTGTCCTTTTTTCTTTCTTTTCGGGGCGAGCGAGCGAGAGCCGAAAAAGCGGCCCCCTCCGTCGCGCTGCGCCGGGCCACCGTGGTTGTCCCGTTAGCCGAAGCGGCCCCTGTTGCGCTCTCCCAGTGACCCAGAGCCGGTCCAATGGGGCGCCGCGGCGGATCTCCTCTCTCGCCGAGCGATCGGCGAGCGCTCGCCCGCGCGCGGCGTTCGCCCGGCGCGCCAGAAGCTGGCGAGCGGCCGAGCGCTGCAGCGCGAGCGGCTGCATGTGTCGTCGTCGGTGGTGAGAGAGGCATGCGCGTGTCCGTCGGGCCCGAGCGGCTCCTGGGCGCGTGCCTGATCGCCAAGCCCCGGCGCGGCGCGTGGGCCGGGGTGCCGCTGATCGCGCTGCCGCCGTCCCCTCCCACGTCGTCGGCGCAAGGCATCGAGGAGCAGATCGTGTCGCTCTCCCAGCTGGCCCTCCACGCGCAAGGCTCGCCGCTCGTGCTGGCTCCACGCGCGCGCAAGGCGACCCCGAGTGGTGCGACGTCGTCCGCGTGTTGCTGTGCCGCCGAGGAGTCGTCGTCGTCGTGCCAGCCGACGCCGCCGTCGACGCCGGACTCTGGCGGCAGCCAGGCGTCCGACGAGCCTGCCCCGCTGCCGCGCGTGCTCAAGCCCCGCAAGCGGCGCAAGCGGGAACGCGCGGCGTCCGCGCCCGGTCCGGGACTCGGGCTGGGACCCGGGCCGCCCAACGCGCCGTCGGCTCTGTGTGCCTGCGCCCTGTGCCGGGCCCCGGTGGGGGCGTCGTCCAGTGCACCGCCGACGTTCTCGCTAACGGGTTACCCGACGCCGCCGGTGTCGCCGCTCCAGGGACGCCTCGGACGCGACTGCTGGGACGACGCCGTCGCCGGCTACAAATGTGAGTGTCACGACGACGGCAGTGAATGCGGTCGGGCGTCCAGGCGCGGACGTTTTGCCCAGTGATTTGTATTCCACTAGCGAATTCCCTGGTTGAGTTGAACTCTTCTCTGCCCGTGGACAACTTTGTGTAGGATTTTCGACGAGTGGAGTGCGCGCGCGCAGCTTTAGCCGGCGCTCATGCCCAAATTTAACTGCATAATCTACAAGTATAAGCCTAACCCCAACCACCGCTAGCACCCCGCAGAAGTTTCAATACAAACCTACAGTATACGCACCCCCCTCCCCCCAACTCCACCCCACAATATGTAACAAACCCACAGGTTGACGATCCTGGAGACAGCCCTGCGCCCAGCCCGTCGGGGCTTGGCGCCGCACCTGTGTCGGTAGAAAAACGAATCGGACAGTCTCTCTTTCTCTCGGTTTTCGTTCGTACCTCGTTGTTCGGCTCCGTGAGCCATGGTTCGCCGACTGCATCCTTCATCCCAGATTACGGTCGCTCTCTGGCTGCGCGATGGGCCCCAGTTTCGAGATGCGACTGGGTTGCGAAGGTGCGCGCTCGTTTCCCCGTTGTAATCGGTTACCCGCGGCTGCACGCCGATTCGAGGCTCGCGTGTCGCTGCTACTCTCCGCGCTCCTCATCGTTCCCCTGGGAACGTGCGAGCGCAGCGAAACGTGCGCCCACGCCGCGTGCTTTTGCGCCGGGAACCTCAAGTGCGATTGGCTGTGTTCGTGGTTTGTCGACCGGTACGTCCGTGCTTTGGAGGAACGCTGACCGGCTTCGCTCTTTTGCGCTGATTTTGAGGGAACTGTTCCATATCGGAACTCTGTTACCTTTAGCGAGGAGTATGCCACTCTCCGTGCGATTCTTTTGAGCCACGTTCATTGACCTCCTTCGTTAGATCAATGAACAGATATTGGGAACGAGGTACCGAATAATTTATCTCCCGCGATATAATGTTTTTCAATATTTTCGAGGGCTAAATTACTCTCGAGCTTAGCTATCTCATCGCGTGCCCTGCTTCTTTATTTTTTTTAGTGTATAGACGATTGCAAGCAAGGCTTGGCTGCCGCCATGTCTCTGCTCGTGCGGACAAGCCCGTGCGATTGGGGCACCAGTCAGGGTGCTATGCTTGCGTTTGTCGATAATAAACACACGACTGATAGACATGGAATGCGCAGTAATACGTCATGGTGTGTTAAGGCCCGTTCACACTCTTGCAACCGAGTATGACTGGGAGAGACCAAACCGGTTTTTAATCTTCTTGCGACGTCTTAGGACCGGATGCGCTGCAGCGTCACGAGAGGATTAAAAACCGGTCTGGTCTCTCTCGGTCGTACTCGGTTCCAAGAGTGTGAACGGGCCTTTAAGAGGTAGCATACGTGTAAAGAGAAGTCTCAAATCCTGACCTAAGAGCCGTTTTAATGGTAGTGTCATACCTTGGTCGGGTTTTCTATGAGTTTTCGCCGCAATAACTTGCGTTCAACCTCATTTCGGCTTTGCAGAATATTTCGTACCGTATTTACAAATGCCAACGACCCCCCCCCCCCCCCCCCCCCCCCCCCCCCCCTTCCAGATCAGCCGATTTAATACCCAGTCCTCCCCAGAGGCGTGCCAGGTACTATTCGTTGGCTTGGACCGTAAACTCCCACTATTTCGTTTCGTGTTTGTGATAATTCCTGGTTAACGTTCACTCCCCGTATCAACACAAGATGGATGCATCCATCTTGAAGTTAAAGCCCCAACCTCATGGAGCATTTTTTTTCACGCGCCTCGATCACGTCAGCGTCGGCGCGCGTCGCTCGACGTCACCCGGAACCAGGGATGGGCAAAATACGTGCAAATATGTATCGAAATACAAATACAATATACTTCGTCAAATATGTATTTAATTACAAATCTAATTACACTTCCAAAAAAAGCAATTAAGTACAAGATACAAATACAACCAAATGTATTTGGTCTCCTCCAAGTACATTCCTCGAAATTCGCGTCAGCGACTTCAGGGAACCTGCAACAGGTTTCTGGGTATCTCATTTTAATTTTGCATGGCACACTCGGGAATTAGTGTGCGAGGCTCTAGTAACGTACTAGAAATATAATCACAAAAGAATGTGATCAGCTTGGATGTAATAGGTGAAAATAGTACAGAGCTTCAAGCAGCTTTTTTTGTCGTTTACATTTTGGTATAGACCAACAAAGAACCGATACGACCAAGACGCGCAGCACTAGCTAGAGAATCCTTTATTGTTGCAACTCGCACCAGTTACGAAAATCTGGACGACCCGCGCATTTAGAATGTTCCAGGCAAAAATATGGATGGAAATCAGGCTGGAAAGCATCACAAGTTGTCTCAGGCACCTATTTAGCCAGTCTGCCTGTGAACGTCGATTTCGTCACTATTCTTGCCCTGGACCAGCACCGTAATCACAAAGTCGCTAAACGCTTATGCTTGATTGAGAGACACTGCATTCGGTGCAGAACGTAGTTTTCTTCCAGCTCTGGACAGTGACAATAAATTTGAGGGATGTATTTTCGCCCACAAAATGGTATTTAATTACACTTGTATTTGAAATACCCACGTTTTAGTATTTAAATACACACGTCAAATACATTACCCAATTTGTAATTAAATACAAATGCAAAATACGCAAAGTATTTAAAATACGTATTTCAAATACTTGTATTTGAAATACTGCTCATCCCTGCCCGGAACAAAGCGACGCGCGGGCCGACGCCGAAATCTGGCCGGGAAAGATACCGGCACGGAGCGCCGCGCGCTGACACGCGAGGAGACGCTGACGCGGATGGGGCGCGTGAAAAACGTCTCATGTGGTTGAGCCTTTAGAGCACACGCGAAAACTGTTCCATGTAAGCACTCCGGTGCCAACTACACCCTAAGACTCCGCGCATCTGTTCCTTTACAGAGCTCGCCCAGAACCGTGCAACCATACTCGTCGGCAAAGTAACTCTGAGACGTATAGGAGCAATAAAATGACGGACAGAAAAGAACGAACTCTCTTGTCATCCCAAGCAGAAACAAAAATTGAAAAGCAAGCTTTGCGCACAATTAATGGGCTTCAGAAAAAAAGTTCTTCCAAGACCTGAGAAAAAAAAAACTTTTTTTTTTTTTTTTTGCGTTTGAAACTTACGCGTTTTTATAAAACAACGAAAGACTGGTGCCAATGCTACTGAAGTATCTTAATCCTCCGCATAATGGGGCAAATTGAATGCGATCTGCAGAAATTATTTTTTTTTTTTCTCTACGGTTATTGTGAGAGCGAGTCTAGTGTGCTTGGCGAGTCGCAATTAAGGCCTTAAATACATTGACCCAAAAATGTTTTCCAAGGTTGACCAACCAGCAGCAACTTTCTCATTTTATGGGTTCCGGTGCAAATGATAGTTTTGATCCTCGTCGTTCGCTAGAATCCAGATCCAATTACTCAGTCATTGGTTCCACTCGGGGATTTTTAAGATGCAATGGGCCTTTGGATGGATGGATGGATGAATCCGGCCGAGCCCTTTGGATCGGGCGGTAGCTTACGCCACCTAGCCATTCTGTTTTACCATTTAAGCTTAGAATATTTAAATGTGAAATCTATATTCACTCCGCACTGGAAAGAAAGTGAGGCTATAAAACCTCCTTGCCATGAGTTAATAAGAAAATACTTAGTTTTCTCTCGCTTTCTGCCACAATTCACTTAATCTTTGCTTGCAAATGTTCCGCAAATGTTGGGCGCCATCTATCGGGAAGCATGCGAAACGTTTTTGGTGGCTATACCTTGCTTCCGGTTCTGCCCGCTCCAAGCTATGTTCGCTGCTGTCTGAATGCGGTCGGTAACGGCATTCGGCGTTTGTTTTTCCTTTATCCAACGCGTTCGACTAGTTTACCCTTGTTTTCAGTGAATGCGTTGGCTATGAACGACTTGTTCGTTTGTACGTTTTGCCGAATGAATAGACGACGAGCTTCGCTGTGGCGTCCGTCGTGTAGTATGGGCAGTACATTTAGTAAATATTCGATATACCGAATTACAGTTAAAGCAAGCTTTTTTTTTTTTTCTTTTAATAGCGAGCATTTAGTTTATTCTGCTTGCAAAAGTTTCAGTGACAAGTGCGCTCTCATAAACGTCAAGGCTCCTTCTAAAATCGTCCGAAAAAACTCGGCGCCTGCACGTTCCAATCACATATTTTCATCAAACGTATATTTTTGTGGGGAATTTCAGCTTGTGGAATTTCAAAGCGTAGCTCCATTCCTGTGAAAAATGAGACCAACAAGCTTGCCCACGTCAACACGAACGCGTTCGTGGACGACAGAGTCGTTTGCGAGCGTCGTTTGACCCTGGCAAAGTTGTTGGTCTCGTTTTTTTTTTTACCGGAGGGAAGCTACACTTCGAAATTTGACAAGTTCAAATTCACCACTAAAATACATATTTGATGAACATTTTCTACGTGCCGCCGCCGATTTCAGAGCGAGCATCGGCATTTATGTCACCCCAGTTCAGGCTCTTGCACTGTAGGTCCTGAAGAAAAACCATGACTCGGCCACACCTCTCTGTTTTGAGTACCGTGCCTGTAGACAATGTTGCAAACTAATTCGTTTACTCGATAGATACAAGAGCAGAACATATCAAGTCGGTTATTTCCTCTTTCTCATTTAACCACAAGATCAGCAGATGCGGTCGTGGAGAGAAACAGCTGCTCTCATTTCTCTTTCCGGGTATGCACATTGCAACAAACTGTGCAGCATAGCCGCTTTGGCTCGGCTATGCTGCACCTATTTATAAATACCTATAAAATTGGGCATTAAACACACACACACACACACACACACACAAAAAAAAATCTGTTAAACTGAATGCGCCACCCGTTCAGGCGGGGGCGTCCGAGCCGACGCGACCTGGACACAGCCGCCATGTTTATTTGGCGGTGGCGCCCTCGTAGGTCGCTGGAGTCGTGAATAAAATTTTTGTTTAAAGTATCGGAACGTGAGCTGATTATAT